TCAAGTAAATTTAAGAAGCTGTTATTAAAATCTTCATAAGGTCTTTCATTTGTTCCACGAAATGCTAAATTATGTAACAAGACATTTCACAACAGCCATAAGTCTAAGCAACACTTGTTTTCAATGATGTGTCTCTTTCTTTATTCGTATTTGCAATTCTTTGTCAATTGTTTGATTTTTTGTCCATCTAATTTTCAGCTCAATCCAAGTTCTAGAATTAGTGATATGCTCTTTGCTTTTATAATGTTGGTCAAGCTTCTTATCAAAAGTGTCCAATCACTAATTCCATCTTTTGCTAACTCACTTTTTTGAACCATTGTTTTAAGCAATTACACCAAAGCAGAATAATTTATCCAACTCTTTTGAGTACACGAGTCATTTCCCATCACAAGTTTCACCCGTTGATACCTTTTTATTGTAGTAATGTGAGAAATTTTTTCTAGATAAGTTATTCTTCTATTTTGATGTATACGACTTTGTGTAGTTTATGACAAACGACAAGATAATTTAGATTAAGTTTATCTAGACTATGGAAATTTATAAGTTCTTTATGACAAACGACAAGATAATTTAGATTAAGTTTATCTATACTATGGGAAAAAAATTCTAACATGAGGTACAAGCGACTTGCAGAATTTAATTGAAAAATTATTTCCCAATCTTAATCATCATTTAAAAACTATTTATTAAAAATTTCAATCAAGCAAACGCATCCATACTATTAAATAAATGAGAAATGGAAGTTCCAATCAAGGTCTAAAATATCGATGATATCGGAAATATCAGTAGTCCAAAAACACGGAAATTTAGATGGAAATATTGGGATATTATCGATATCGATAAAAATTGAATAAAAACCACATAAATTGTAAGAAAAACTTGGAAATTTTTATTGAAACTTTGCAGGATGTTTATTTAGTTAATTATCTATTAGTTTATCACAAAAAATTGGAAGGAAATGTATTACATGATGGATTTAACTTATTTAAGTTGATTATATAGCGAGCTGGCAAACATTGTGAGTGTAGAAAATATGTAGTAATTAATGAAAGAAGTTTAAACACACCATAATCATTTATATAATGAATTAGTACAATATTTTACACTTTATACATTGTATGGTAAGATACATGAGTGACATAGGTGGCCCAATAATTGCATGGTAAGATACATTGCATACTAGAAAACAGTCTCTCCACCAAAGCAGTTATGAGCAATAATATCAAAGTCAATGTAAGAAGTTTAAATTGGCTAGGATTAGATCCTAAAAAATGTTAGGCGCTAGTCAAACAGCAGATTGGGAACTAGTAGCTAGGTGTCTAGGCGAGATCTAGGTAGGAGCCTAGATGGATTTAAATTATCATAAAATAAGCATTAAACAATATTTACATTGTTTTTAAAAAGTAATACGATATTTATAAATAATGTGAGAGTTTAAGATAAATACGGTGAAATCTTAAAAGAGAAAATAAAAATACATACAAGAATAAAAAAAGGAGAGAAATGAGTTAATAAACCACAAAAAAAGATGGGGTCATAAGAGGAAAAAAAAGGGAGGAAATGGGTAAACAAACATGTGGGGTAGAAAAATAAAGACCAGAAGAGAAGTGGTGGTTAGCACAATATTTTAAGAGAGAAAAAAAAATAAACAAATGGTCAGCATGATAATACTAGGATAAGGTGCCAGTACCCAATTTTTACTGACTTAGGTGGCCCAATAATTTGTAATTTCAGATATTTGTCCCTCAAAGTTAATGAATTTTACAATTTGGTCATTTGAACACTTACCCTATCCGGATGGGATTTCCTAACTTATCCTCCTATCACGACTTGCCACGTGGCAAGTCCCCATCTCTTTTCCTCTTCTCCTTTCCCGAGCCTCCCCCTCTTAGCTCACTTTTATCTCTCTCAAAGATCTCACTCACCTCTCCCTCTCCGTTTGAACCCAGACCCACACCGAGGCTCCGTCGCCACCTTGACGTTGACAACATCACCACCATCACCTCGTCAACTCTCTCCCTCTCTTCCTCGTCTCGTCAACTCTCTCATTCTCTTCCTCGTCTTCAACGCGTCCTCAGTGCACCCGCAACAGTAGCAGCAAACCCAGGCAGGAAACAACTGAGAGCAATTCATGAAGGGGAAGTCGACGAACAAGTCAGTGACGAAGAGCTGGAGCTTGAGCGATCTGGAGCTGCATAGGAAGAAGCGATAATATCGCGATATTTTGATGATAATTAAGTGGATAAGTGTGAAAATATCGTTATCTAAAAAAAAACGATATTATCGACGATATTTCGCCAATAATATCGATATTTTGGTCATTGGTTCCAATATTCTCTCAGTGTTGAGAGTTTTTCTCTCAAATTGAGAGTTATTCTCACTTTCTGTGTGAGGCGTTCAAACCACAGAAAATCCGGTGGCACCGACCCTAGCTTCAGCTGGGGACGGTTGCCGTTTCCTTCTTGTTTTCTTTCTCTTTTGTTTTCCTTGATTCCACTGCTTTTTATTCCAAATTTCTACTCCAATCTATCCTATTCCTCTATCCCTGTGGGTATTACTTTTCCTGGCTTTTCCTTACTCCGATCTTCAGCCATGCATCCTTTTGAGATTGTGCGTAGAGTTCCGGTGTATCCACCAGCTCGAGTGTTTTCAACACCACCAATTTATCTTTGTTATCTGTCGGTTTCAGCAGTGTCGTTCGTGGGTTTCCACGAACTTCGTACTGATAACTGACTTCTCTCGCTTAGCTGCCGGCTATTTCTAGTTTATGAATGTGCTCAGGTAGCAAATTGGGTTTGGAAGTGGTGTCTGTTGAAGCAGTGCTCGGTGGCGGAGATGGAATCAGATGGATTGGTTGGTTTTGGAAGGGTGGAGAAAGCTGTGGAAGGTGTCGAGGCTTCTGCTTTGGGAGACGTGATGTTAAGTTTGGGCCTAAATGTTTTTTGGGGTCATTTTGTGTTTTCTAGTGTTTTAGGCCCACTTTTGTTTGTTGATATGTAGTATTTGGGCCTCTGAAGTGTTGTATGTTTGTTGTTGGTGCTTAATAAAATAGAAATGTATAATTATTACAAAATCGTTTAAACAAAATCATTTTCTTTTGGGGTAAAACTGTAAAAATAACTTGTTATTCGAAACACTGCGACACGTTTCTATAAGAGGGATTTTTCCTTGCCAAAAAAAAAAAAAAAAAGGTTGCGTTTTTAGCTTCCGAGGGAAGCTTTCCCAGTACTCGGTAAAAACCTTCCCGCTCGCTGTTGCTCATCGTTGGAGGTGGTTGGATTCTGCTCAGAGCTGTGAGAAGAATCAACGATGGTGCAGAGAAGTAAGCAATTTTCCGTTTTGTACATTCGAATTTGTTTATCTAACTGTGCTATGCATGGACTTATTGATCAATTTGCTAAATTTGTTAAGGATCTGGAAAAATAAAATAAAATTAGGGTTTAATAAGCTTGAATTTAAAAAGGAACAGTTTTCGGTATCGGAAAATTGTGTTAGATTGTGAGTTGCGTTTTGTTGATTTGTGTATATTTGTGTGTTTTGCATGGAATGATAGATTGATTCGTTTGCAGAGAGTCGTGGGATTGAATTTGTTATGAGGAAAAAATGGGGATGTGCATCAATAAGCTTGCTTGAATTGAAATGGTTATCGAACGGCCCTTAAATTTGTGTGTCGTTGTGCGTTGTGCATGGGATGATTTGATTGATTTGTTGTGCAGAGAGTAGTAGGCTTCAATCTGTTAAGGAGCAGGAGAAATTGGAGACGGATCCGATTGAATTGAGAAGGAAGCAGTTGATTCTTGATATACGGGAGGCAAACAGAATAGGTGATCAAAATGAAGAGAAGCGCAGGATTCGGTTGATTCACGAAACGGAGATGGTGAACAAACTAGTATGTTGCATTTGGTCCCTAGTTTTTGCCCCTTTTTTTCATTATTTATTTGTTTATTTGAACTTTTGACATCAGAAGTAGAAGACATTACGATAACCTATCTCTGCAGAGCAAAGCAAGGAAACTTCGAGATTTACAAGTACAGTTGATATCGCTCGGTTATACATTCAACCCGGAAGATGGACTATTAGTTTGTCACTACTTAAGGGAAAAGTGTTTGGACGGTGATCTTTTGTTTCACTCCATTGAAGACGCTGATGTTTACGCAAAGCATCCTCAGAACCTCATAGGTATTTTCTTCCGATACATTATTATGTTTCTAGGGTTTAGGGTTTAGGGTACTGCTCTTTGTCTTTGACAGATAACTACTAGTAATGTTACAGACAAATACAAAGCTGTTGGTGCTAGAAATGTTTGGTATTTCTTCACCCGTACCCGCCCGAATGAAACTCAACCTGGTACCAGTACAAGTACAGAGCAGGTTCTGGCCGGAAAATGGATATTTGGCAACGAAATGGACGTGCTTCATCAGGGCGAGAAAGTCGGTGTAAAACAATTACTAGAGTATTGTGACGGGGATGCCAAGACCCAATATAAGATCATCGAGTACAAACTCGATCCTCTTCCAGATAATTTGAAGGTATGAAGTTTTAGCCTATAAAATATGTCCGTTTATTGACTCCTCCATTCGTTTTGTTTGAAAAATGCATTGGTTTCAAATTGTGCACAGAGCGGTCCTTGGTTCGTCTGTAAGCTGTACAATGATGCAAGTTGCGTGGAGGTGCAGAGTTTAATTAATGGCTGATACTTCACCTTAATGATGTACCATTTCATGTCTTCGGCTCCGTCATCCTCCGGTGTTGTTTGACTGAGCTAATCGATGTCCGTTGCAACTGCGATTTGAATTTGAAGTCGGTTTATCCATAGACAGGCATCTTGTTTCTGTTTGTGTGGCTACTTCGGTACTCTGATATCAATCCAGATTCATGCGCATACCTTGTCATCTTAATTTTTTATTAAGGCATGTTCATGGTGTTTTCATATTTGTGAGATCATTCAGTTACTTGAGACTCAGTTCTATAACCGCTAACGACAAAACTGTTTCCAAAACAACTGCAACCCTACATTTCAAAACCATTAAGCCACGATGAGATGACTCAAAATGTTCCATATAAAAGCAACAATGAGATAACTGGAAATATCCATTTGCAAGTGCAAATACTCCCCGTGAGACAAATTTGAAGTATAAACTCATTCTCCATAGCGGTGACTATGTCCGTTGAGCTGTTGAACAACAACTTACATCCAAAACAATGCTGAAACCGTTGAGCTGTTGAACGACAACTTACCTCCAAAACAATGCCATCTGACCATCAAACTCATGTTTGCTCTTCCACATAACCTCGACTACGCTGTCAAACTCATTAGTCCTCTTCCACATAACGTCGACCGCGATATATCTTGAAAATAGACCATCGACCATGCTGCATATTTTTCAAGTATAATAAGCTTATTGTATGAAAGAAGTATGAACAAAAAACAAAAGCAAGTCAAAGGTTTGCACCTTGAACCGGAATGTTTGAAATTCAGCTAAACTTGAAGGGTCTGCCCCAGGGTCGTTTCCCATTATCGGTGTATATTTGTCCATTGAAATGTGAGAGCTTCTTAGCCTTGCATACCCAATCCTAACATGATAAAGCTTAAATTGTGTCTATAACAAATGTCGACACCGTCTTTCTTGATCAATTTCGGAGGTGCATCATCTATCCAAAATTCTGGACGGGCTGGAAAGATTGCTTTTCCTCGCACAGCACGCAGTAGAATATCGAAATGATGGTCCACGTAAAGCTCATGGGAGATAACAAACACAGGTTTAGTTCTCTCTCCGATGTTGGCAAAGGGGTAGTAATGTTCTGTTTAAAGTAAAAATATCAATCACCAAAATGAGCACATAAAGTTAATGAAAGGAAAGGACAACTTAAACTAATAATTATTACCAAGTAGGACTCTCGGTGAACATCGGAAAATGTCAAATACGGGAATAGGGCATTCATCAGTTAGCTCGTCGGCCAGCCATTTCGAAAGCCACTTCATAAGCGTTGCAACTCGATAGTTTGGAAATCTTCTACGCGGCCCAAATTGGTTACGATTTCCATTAAAAGCGGGAAGGTATTGTATATAGGGACGACGCATCTAAAATGAAAACAAAAACTAACTGTCAGCATATAATGTGAAACTCATATGTGTTTTAAACAATGCAAACTGAAACACTGTGTGTCAAGATCCCCAATACTTGCATAACAAACTGAAACAAACGACTCCAATGAAACAGCAAAGAAAACAACGGAGAATTGTTAATTTTATCTTTCTAAGTGTAGTGTTAATTCTCCCAAACTTAAATTGAAAAGACTAGAGCCTAAATTGACTGACAGGGCTGCTGGGAAAGTGTTATTACAAGTCACAACAAGTAGCCAAGCCAACATACACTAAAAAGACATGGACACGTCCAGATGCTTCGAATCCTAGCTCCCTCGGTTAAGCGAAATTGACTTGTAGATTTTCTAGCTAGGAGAGTGCATAATCATTATCAAAGCACTTGATCGATTCCAACGTCAAGTGCATATCACAGATTGCTTTAGCATAAACAAAATTGAATAAATACTTGTTATGTCCGGAATTTTGGGATCACATAGACATTTAAAGAGCCTAATAAAGAAAAGGTTCGGATGGATTACATATTTTTGAAGCATCTCTGACAGATTTTTTATTGTAATGCAATGTATTGAATCATTTCCATTCCCAGTGATGAGGCGGATGATTCCTTCGATTACCCGACCCAACAGACACAATTTTCTCAACAAATCCCATGTCATGGACTCTTGGACTGGATTGATTTCCATAAAACTAGATCTCTATGCAGCAAACAGAGAATGCACCAGACCAAACCCCCAACAACCCAACCCCCCCCCCCCCAATATTGCAAACCCAACACCCCAAATATCCCCAATATCCCAAAATCCAACACACATTTCCGAAAATTATCAAAGAACAAAACAACCATCCTTTTGCCTTCCCCCATGGATGTATATATATATCCAAATGAAGCAGGCAGGCAGGTAAATAAAATTGTAAATACAAAGAGTTGAAAGAAGTAAACAACAGTTTGGAAGATGAACATACCGTGTCAAATCTGTCCGTTGAAATCCAATTACTTGAACGATACGCAAGGGATCCGAGATAGCGGGAGCGAGGCAAATCACTCAACCGGGGTTGCGCTGCTTCTGCTCCATTTAGGTTTTACCAAAGTGATCCTTGAACCCAGAAATTGACAACTCCAAGCGAAAAGCCACAGAAAACCAGAGAGAGAAGAGAACTAGGGTTTCCGATCTTACGCTGTGATCGTACAATCCTCAAGCTGAGCTGTGCTGCTGGGTATTTGAATGGAAATAACGCGGGTCGCTCAGCTGGTTAGTCACTAATCCAACAGATTTAACTAACTTAATACACGATTAGCAACTCTAACTAAAAGAATCGCGTGAGTGTCACGTGAGTACAACCAGCCAATGAGTTTTAAGTTATATGGGCGGGCCTAATTCCCGAAAGCCCAACTCTTTTATCAACCCAAAGCATTTTCAACGGCCCAACGAAGATAAATAACGATGGAAGACTTGCTTCGGAAGCTTTAGGCTTTATCCGTCCGAAACGAACAACTTGGGGTTGGATTTTGGCTCAGAAGAATCAACAACGATAGCGATGGTGAAGAGAAGTAAGCCTGCCTTTTTGTTTTTGATGGATTGATTGATTGATTCGTTTGTTAAATTTGTTGAGGATCTGGAAAAATTGGGGATGAATCTGTTAACTTGATTGTTTGTGTAAAATCCATGAATATGATTGATTGATTTGTTGTGCAGAGACTAGTACTAATAATACTAGTAATACTAGCAGGGTTAGGGTTAGGGTTAGGGTTGAATCTGATAAGGATGAGGAAATTTTGGGGACTAATAAGCTTGAATTGAGAAAGTTGAAGAGGATTCGCGAAGAAGAGGAATCGCTCAAGATTTCCTTCCGACTTGCAGAGGAGCTTGAACGGCAGGAACTAGAGAGACTGGCGTGTGTATCTTCTTCCTTTGCTGCCTGCCGCCTTGAAATTCGGGCAGCCGAGATATTTAGAAAACAGGTTGTTATCTTCTTTCTTTATTTCCACAGCGCTCAGCGCTCAAATCCGACTCCAACAACAACAAAAAAAGTGACTTTTAGATAATCTTTGCAGGCGGAAGCACTGAAAAAGCGAGAGTTGGAAAAACGGTTGATATCCCTTGGTTACACATTCAACCCAGACGATGGAATATTACTTCATCACCACTTAAGGGAAAAGTGCCTCGAAAACGCTCTTGGTTTTTATGCCATCCTTGAAGAAGCTGACATCTACGCAAAGCATCCTCAGAACCTAATAGGTCTGTTTCTTTCCGAATTCATCTTTATTTTTAGCAAGAATTGGGTACCCCTGTCTGTGTTTGGCAGACTAACTGCTACAGATGTTACAGAAAACTACCGTGCTCTCGCTGCTGGAAATGTTGGGTATTTCTTCACCCGTAGCCGCCCAAATGAAACTCAACCTCATACTAGTACAAGTACAGATCATGTTCAGGCCGGACATTGGATCTTTGGCAAAGAATTGGACGTGCTTCATCAGGGCGAGAAAGTTGGTGTTAAACAATTACTAGAGTATTGTGCAGCGGGCGCCAAGACCGGATACAAGATCATCGAGTACAGACTCGATCCTTGTCCAGACAACTTAAAGGTATAAAAATTAGCCTGTGATGTATGTTCATTTATTACTCTCTTCATTCTACTCAAAATATCTTGGTTTCAATTTGTGTACAGGATGGTCCTTGGTTCCTTTGTAAGCTGTACAAGGACGGGAGTTACATGGAGGTGCAGAGTTCGCTCTAATTATGATTAGAATTTGAAGTCGCCGTATCTGTCGGTAGTTGAGGGTAGGGATCTCTCTTTATGTTGCTACTTTGTTATGGTTTGTAACTTTGATTCCCACAAGGCACTCCAGCGTCAGCCTGTGCACTGCATGTTTGTGTTGGTACCTCGCTGTTGCGCCGGTTTTTTGGCACGGAATGAGAGTACTATCTGGTTTTATAATTATCGATGTACAAAATGTGCAATTTTTACCAGAGAAGCTACCACGAAACATTATGAATATACTCAACCAGGTCTGGCATTTAAGTGAACCTCGCATGGCGAGGAACTGGTTGAGATATATTCCAAAGCTTCGTTGATTTGGGTTGTAAAGTACAGATCGTGCTGTTTCACCTACCCAAACGTTACGAAACCAACCAGATTGGGTCGCAAAGCCCAAAACTGGATTGGATTTATTTGGATTCTCACAAGCAAATCCGTCAACCAATTCATCGGTTTTGGTGTTTAGGGATCCAATCCAGTGTGGTGAATATAACCCAACCTGACCAAATTAAGGGAACCGGATCCCCTCCGGATCCAAATATACTGAGCCTGCTGAGCAAGGGATCCGGACCGTTGAAATTTAATCCAACGGCCACAATTGTTATAACTTTTAAAGCCTCCTGTTTGTAACCGTTGGATCAAATTTCAAAGGTCCGGATCCCTTGCTCAGCAGGCTCATTTTTATTGGGTCCGGAGGGGATCCGGTTCCTAAATTAAGTATCAAACAATGATAGCATGGATTAATGTAATCTTGGAAACCTTGAAATCTTAGAGAGGTCTCCAAGCTAAATACATAAGGTCACAAAACTATGAACAGCCATAGAATACGTGCACCCCCACTTGGGGGCCGGAAAGACATCGACACATTGCAGCTACAGCCCGAGGTGAAAAACAATAAAAAAACAAAATGAAACAATAATACAACAGTAATTCCACAACAATGTCACAACTCTGACAGAATGGCAGGGATGTAATGGGACAACTCGGCCGTCAGAGATTGAAATCCATTCACAAGCTGAGATTGGAACTCCTGATCTTCCTCGTCGATCAATCTAAAGTGCACACGGATGGCACGCTTGCATACGGCCATGAATTCAAGGAGTGCAGCAATGAGTTGCTGCAGTTCCTAGGACCGCAACCTTGTTGCAGGCTCGCCCGACAGGAATGCAGTGCACACACTCAGTACCCCACTGCTGACCTGCAAATGGAAAGTAAGAAAATTCCTCACCATCCCTAGACCGAGATCTTAGCTTTGCATACTCGAATCTGTCATGGATTCGAAAAAGCCCAAATAGGCCGAGACTTCCAGACCATTTTCCGGCCACATTCAACTACCTTTTGGCCTCGATTCAGGTAGAATCGAAATCTTGTCACTCCTAGCTTCAATTTGGTATATTTTATATGAAAGTTGGTTGTGAAATGGATCTAAAAGAGAGTTGAATCGAAAAGTTAATAATTGATCTAGGTAACTGGAGATGACGAGGAGTCTGTTGGGAGTGGTCGTTGAGCATGACGAGGACGAGAGAGAGATGATAGTCTTAGCTAGTCCCATGGTTTTTTGGGGGGCTTTAGTCTTAGCTAGTCCCATGGTTTTTGGGGGGCTTCGCTAAGATCGGCTAGCCTATGAATTAGTCTAGGCGAGTGAGACTTAGTCTCATCAAATCTAATCCCTGCTGGAAACAAACTTGGGACTGGACTAATTCTTAGTCATGTCCAGTCCAATGAATTTTAGTGAGGGCAAACAAACGATCTCTAATTCTCTAGTACGTTGTGTCGTGTAAGTGCCTTGTTGTAGAAGCTTGGGCTTCTATGGATCAGGATCCTCTCATGAGCTAAGGATGAGGATCCTTCTGACCAAGGAGTGTGGGCCGTTTGATGAAAATCTAACAGTTATAATTATTATAACTTTAAAGGGACCTCCCTATTTGGAAAATCCAACGGTCCACACTCCTTGGTCAAGAGGATCCTCATACTTAGCTCAGGAGAGGATCCTGATCCGGCTTCTAGCTTCTTGTGGATGCAGCTTTCTGTCAAATAATTAGATGAAAACATAAGTGTCATTTCGAATTCTCTCCTCTTATTCTCATCTCATTTTTCTCTCATTTTCTCACAGTTTTTTTTTTGTCTCTCTATAAAAAAAAGTTAATATAAAGTGTTGACATGGTTTAATTGTAACTATTTAAATAAGAGGGGAGGGAAAGAGAGAGATTATGAGGGAAGAGAATCCTCCTTCATGTTATTTTGTTGAGATTACTTCAGGAGTCCACTAGTTCTCTCCTATGGTGAAGAAAGGCGAGAGCAACCAACACATCTTAAAACTAAAGTCATTTATTCTGCGTGACTTGCATCAGGAGTAAGATCAAGGATGTCAGAAAAAAGTTGGCCTCTTTTATTCTTTTGATGATTGTTGTTTTGGCCCTGGAAGATAAAATAGCTATTAACTCAATGGCTTATATAGTGGTAGTGAATGTCTTTATTTTCAATGAGTCAGCCATACTCTTGTAAATCATTTCAAGTAAATTTAAGAAGCTGCTATTAAAATCTTCATAAGGTCTTTCATTTATTCCACGGAATGCTAAATTATGTAACAAGACATTTCACAACAGCCATAAGTCTAAGCAACACTTGTTTCCAATGATGTGTCTCTTTCTTTATTCGTATTTGCAATTCTTTGTGAATTGTTTGATTTTTTGTCCATCTAATTTTCAGCGCAATCCAAGTTCTAGAATTAGTGATATGCTCTTTGCTTTTATAATGTTGGTCAAGCTTCTTATCAAAAGTGTCCAATCACTAATTCCATCTTTTGCTAACTCACTTTTTTGAACCATTGTTTTAAGCAATTACACCAAAGCAGAAGAATTTATCCAACTCTTTTGAGTACACGAGTCATTTCCCATCACAAGTTTCACCGTTGATACCTTTTTATTGTAGTAATGTGAGAAAAATTTTCTAGAGAAGTTATTCTTCCATTTTGATGTATACGACTTTGTGTAGTTTATGACAAACGACAAGATAATTTAGATTAAGTTTATCTAGACTATGGAAATTTATAAGTTCTTTATGACAAACGACAAGATAATTTAGATTAAGTTTATCTATACTATGGAAGAAAAAAAATTTGAATATGACGTACAAGCGACTTTCAGAATTTAATTGAAAAATTATTTCCTAGTTATGGTTGAGATAATAACTATACAAATATCATCGACATTCTTCTTAATCATCATTTAAAAATTATTTATTAAAAATTTCAATCAAGCAAACGCATCCATACTATTAAATAAATGAGAAATAGAAGTTCCAATATTCTCTCAGTGGTGAGAGCTTTTCTCTCAAACTAAGAGTTATTCTCACTTCCTGTGTGAGGCGTTCAAACCACAGAAAATCCGGTGGCGCTAGCCCTAGCTTCGGTCGGGGCCGGTTGCCGTTTCCTTCTTGCTTTCTTTCTCTTTTGTTTCCTTGATTCCACTGCTTTTTATTCCAAATTTCTACTCCAATCTATCATATTCCTATTCCTCAATTCCTGCGGGTATTACTTTTCATGGCTTTTCCTTGATCTTCAGCCATGCATCCTTTTGAGATTGTGCGTAGAGTTCCGGTGTATCCACTAGCTCGGGTGTTTTCAACACCACCACTTTATCTTTGTTATTTGTCAGTTTCAGCAGTGTCGTTTGTGGGTTTCCACGAACTTCGTACTTATAGCTGACTTCTCTTGCTTAGCTGCCGGCTATTTCTAGTTTATGGATGTGCTCAGGTAGCAAATCGGGTTTGGAAGTGGTGTCTGTTGAAGCGGTGCTCGGTGGCAGAGATGGAATCAAATGGATTGGTTGGTTTTGGAAAGTTGGAGAAAGCTATGGAAGGTGTCGAAGCTTTTGCTTTGGGAGACGTGATGTTAAGTTTGGGCCTAAATGTTTTTTGGGGTCATTTTGTGTTTTCTAGTGTTTTAGGCCCACTTTTGTTTGTTGATATGTAGTCTTTGGGCCTCTGAAGTGTTGTATGTTTGTTGTTGGTGCTTAATAAAATATCTTTTTACCAAAAAAAAAAAAGAGAAATGTATAATTATTACAAAATCGTTTAAACCAATACATGTCTCTAGAACCTGTATGTTCTACGATATATGTCTATGGCTTACCATATGACTAATCACGTTTTCGCCCTCTGTTTTAGGGACATGTCGAACTTGAACAAACTCGATTTCTCCGCTCTAGAAGTCTCTGGAAGAAACTATCTGAAGTGGGTACAAGACGTGAAGCTCAATCTAACTGCAAAAGACATTAAAGCCACCATCGAGGCACCTATCGCCGACAAACCTGTTGACGAAGCTCAAAAGGCTATTGCAATGATCTTCATTCGAAGACACATCCATGATGCACTGCAGACTGGGTATCTTGCTGAGGAGGACCCACGCACCATCTGGCTTGCTCTGGTCGACCGTTTCGATCATCAGAAAGACATATACTTGCCTGAAGCAAGACACGACTGACAGCATCTTCGCTTCCAAGACTTTAAGTCAGTGAATGAATACAACTTTGAAGTTTGTAGAATCCGTTCTTTGTTGAAATTCTGCAAAGTGGAACTAACTGAATTAGATCTCTTGAAGAAGACCTATTCGACCTTCCATGCCACCAATATTATCCTGTAGCAACAATATAGGGCACATAAATTCACCAAGTTTTCAGATTTGATCTCTGTTTTACTTCTCGCTGAAAAGCAAAACCAGCTTTTGATGAAGAACCATCAAGGTCGACCGATTAGTTCAAACGCCGTGCCTGAAGCACATGCGACTTATTCTAGCAGCCATAAATGACGAAAGAACCATTATGGATGTGGCAATGGGCAGCAAGCCCAACCACGGGCCCAAGGTCAACATAGTGCCGCACCTGAGGGAAGAATTGCGACCCAGCAGCATCCACCACTCGCCCCTAAGGTCCCAAACTTCAAGAACAAAGGCAAAGCTCCTGTTCAGCCCGCTTCTAATGAACTGGACATGTGCTATCGTTGTGGATCAAGGGATCATTGGTCACGCGTATGTCGAGCTTTCCCTGAGGCTATTGCCAAGTATCATTCCCGTCGTGAGTTTAACTTTGCATATGTGGATCATCCGGAAGATGCAACTACATCAATGGAGATATCGGATTTTCAAGAGGCGTCAGCGCCTATGGATGAATAAATTAGACATATTT